TTATTGACATATAAAATTTTATTTAAAAGTATCTTAAAATTTGAGATGAAGTATAATTTAATTATTATTTATTATGAATTAAATTACTATTATATGTATTTAAATAAAAAAAAAGTCGCCCGTAGAGTTGCATAATCGATAGATACTTATTCCATGAGTACTACGCGCGCGCGCGTGTAGGCACCCATAGGCAACTGGTGAGACGTGAAATTAAGAGAAAAAAATGAGGAGGGATCTAATTCCCAAGCATATCCATTTTACTGGTGGATCGGTGCGTGAATCCCTTTCCCAAGAATCAACCTTTCAATTTTGAAACCAACTCTTATTTGCATTAATAGCTGATTCCATTCCCATCTTTCATGCATATGCAATATCGGAACAAGTTTTCCATTTCAGCTATGATACTTCGTTTTTGTCTGTAAATAATATCCACACTTCATTTATATTATAAAAATATTTTTAACGAACTCAAATCCTCTTCTTATTGCCAATCACACCATGATGTTAGTTATTTCTTTTGATCCTATTTATAGGACAAAGAGACAAGAATATTTTTAGTTTTATTTATAAATCATATTATTAAATTTTCATTATGATTCTCTACTTTACCCTCCATTGAATGTTGGAAAGAGAAAATATGCTATTAATTTGTTCATGTTTAATAGGGGCAAAATGAAAACTTTTTAAATTTTAAATAGAGTTAATGAGTTTTAAAATTTTTTTATAATTAGGATTAGAGGAGTGATTTTATTTTCCCTATGGTTTCCATTATAAGGCACATCTAATTACTTTATCAGAATAAAAAAATGTGGCTAGGTCATTAAATTTGTCTGAAAATAGAATGAATTTTAAATTTTATCTCCACTTAAATGAAATTTTTTCATATTTGTATTATATTCTCTTTCATAGTTAATAAACTTGAATAGGTAAGATTGGAGAAATGTAAATATCCTACAAGGTGCCTTTATTGAGAACCAAAAAATCATTTTAAAAAGTGCTATATAATAGGATCAAATGGGATAGTTTTTAAGAAATGATGTATAATATCTTTAAACTTGTAAAAACTACTTGACTTTTAAATTTTGCTCTTCATTGAAATCAATGGTCACAATAAGTATGTGTTTAGGAACTAAAAGCTTGACGACAACTTGTTGCAATCAAATAGGGCAATGTCAAAAGAACATCAACCACTTCATCTTTATTGACTCAGGACTAGATAGAATTTTAAAACTTTATCCTATAAATAGGACCAAATATCGGATGAAATAGACTAATGTAAGTAGTTAACTTTCCCAAAGTTTTGAATCTCTTTCAGTGCATCTTTCATTAAATACAGTTGACTCTTGAATGGAGAATAGACCAAATTATTGAGGGGTCAAGAAATTTTTTCATTTGTCAGAGACATTTTAAGATGATCATGTTAATTGCTTTTAACATTCTGTAAAAATGCCTTACAAATTAAAAAGAAAAAAACTTATATACCTAATCTTATATATTAAAAATACTTGTCTCCAATCAAATCAAGACATGTTAATTTTTTTATGTATTATTTATTTTATAACAAATTCTTGTTATTAATATTAATACATTAAAATTTACTTGTCTTAATTTAAGTAGATAAAAGTATATATCTTAAAAATATACTTGATAATAGTGGATGGAGGAGTAGCAGTAGCCAGCAGCACAATTGATTATATATATGCATAAATATTTTCAATTCGTGACATAATAAAAATAAAATTGGGTTTCTTCAGAAATACGAAACAGGCCGAAGTGACAAAGCAGTTCACGTAAGCCCATCGGCATGTCCTGAGTAGCGGGGGCCACGTCAGCGCGAAGATAACAAGTTAGGCACTCCAATTCATTTTGTCTGGTTTGCTTGGCGCCAGATAATCAATAATCAATAACTTATGTGATCTCATTGCTAGTGGATTGGGTAAATTCCCCGAAAGTTATCTTCCACCAATTACATATTCATACATAGTTATGCACTTTGTATAACTTAATATCTTTGAGGATGATGAATGTCATTAATAATTATATTCAAGACTTTCGCTTTTGGCACGAAGCTCAGATTTATTTGTTTTTATTTGATCATCTAAGCTAGCATGTTACAACCATTTCGTACAAAAAAAAATTTAGGAATCAGATTAAACTAAAAATAATCAATAAAAATGACAATCTAATGCTCTACAATCAAAGCAATATTTTGCAACCTTTTTTAAATACACTGCAATAACTCATATTTAGCACATTGAGAAACGCCGGTATATGCATGCTCTGTAAAAGCTCTCTCTCTCTCTCTCTCTCTAAATACACCGCAGCATTTTTATGTACACAGTAATAGCACATTTTCACACGTAGCGCTTTTGGTTTTTTTTTTGGGACCTGGAAAAAACGTAGCGTTTAAAACCATCGCTAAAGTCAATAACACGAACTTTGATCACATTTCACACCTGAGTACACTCGTAAAGGGACAATACATGACAGTTGCCCCCCCCCCCCCCCCGGGGGGGTGTAGCCAAAAAAAAGACGCTAAAAAAAAAAACGAAAGTCAACCCGTACCTTTCTGCTTCCAATATATAGTATGTTTGAAGGAGGGATTTATAGTACCAGAAAAGGAAGGCAAGAAACCTCAATCAACACTCGGGATTTATACATTTTTGGCACCTTTTTTTTTTTTATCCATTTTTGTTCTTCTCTTCCTTCAGCCTCCACTCAATTTGTTTGAGTCAGATTATCCCTTGCCTAGACAAATATTTTATTGGGAATTACAAGCGATTTTATAATAGGACCGATCATTTAGCTTATGGAAATATTGGTTCATGGCTTAAAGGATTAACTGATTAACCAATTCAAATAATTTATTATCACCTTCCAAGCAGTGCCAGAAATTGTGCAAGCTTTCATGTCTCAAGCTGTTCTTTAAACCCGACTTGGTCCTAAAAACCTGACACGATTGATTATCAATTTGATAATATAAACAACTTTATGTGCAACACTTCTATGCCTAAAAATATGCATGCATTCCAGAGCTACTAAATTGATTATGCCATGCAATCTTTTTAACTATCAAATATCATATAAAGTCGAAACAAGAATCATATTTTCAGGTACTATAATGATACGAAAAATGACTAGAGTACTACATTGATAATGTCACTATTTTTTAATAACCATAACAGGGTCTACCTGCCTTAAGAGATGGTATCAACTATCTACTGCCTAACTTTCTTTGAACAGTGTTATTGGCTGTAGTGTTTTAAAGGAGAGGAGATTAGAGGGAAAAGGAAGAATAACCTGTTCAACTCTTTCTAAACCATTCCCTTTGATGGATTTTCTGTCACTGATTTGGATGATTCTTTTACCTTCTGAGCTGCTTCACATGCTGCCGATGCTGCCTTGTCCAAACCTAACCTTTGCAATTCATTTAGAAGATCATTAACATCTGTGTCATTGATCTTGTATGGGCTGTGGGAAGGACTAGGAAATGAGCCGCTTGTCACTTCTTCCTTGTACTCCAGGAGGGCTTTATTGATAACCTCTCCAACACGAGCGTACTGCTTACAAAATTTTGGAGTGACCTGAAGCAGAAGATTCAGAGTTCATGATATATTTTCTTCTTCAATTTTGTTCATTGTGTTTAAACACTAGTTGGATCTATAAATGGGTTTTTATGCCACTTCGCATTTTAATATAAATTTTCCTGAAAAAAACAGTAGTTGTGCACATACAGATCTCTACCAAGTAATGTGAAAAAGGAAAGAAGAAATCTTGGGCTAAAAGTTGCCAAAAATACCTTTGCATGATGGGGATGTTGCAGCATACCAAGCAAGTCATGATAAACTAGCACCTGCTTGGACATTAGAATGAAATTAGAAAGTCTGTCTAACTAAATAATCAAGTTCTGGAAACGAAGATTCATGTATAGTTCTGGTCCATCGGGAACAGATTGGCCAAGCAAGTACGTTAGAAGTCAGTCTAGCTAAAAAGTGTGCCTAACATGCTAAACTTACGTACGGATGTTTGGTTTGCCTTACTAATCTTTCTATATCGTTCTACCTAGGAATTTGTCTTCTATAGAAGAGGGAGATCATGATAAAAAGCTCAGGCATAATTTAGTAAGAAGTATAAGAATTCATACTGCACTGATGTGATCGAAATTGAACCTTCAATATGTCTAGGTTTATTATTCCGAAGTTGGAAACGTGTAAAGATCTCCGCCAAGTGAGACATGAGAAAGGGATAGCTAGATCAAGTCTCCTATAAGTATAAATATCATGGATACAGGAAATGCAACTGCTGAAATCACAAGGTGCAAAGGATTGAACAGACGGTAATTTCAGTGGCTAAAATAGCACTATAGCATGCATAAAGTTGTTAATTTATACAGCTTTCCTTCATTGTTTCACATTCATTGATGAAATAATTAAATAATTAGATATTTAATAATAGCTACTGCTAGGCGCTAGCTCTTAAGACCAACCTTAACATTTCTATCTGAATATATACAGATCAGAAGTGAACATTTTATTTTACCCAAAAAAAAAAACAAAAAGCAAACATTTTATGTGGGAGCATCAAATTGTTATCGCAGAGAGAGCCTGGGAAAGCCACTTGATGAAGAATAAGTACCTTAAAATAAAGTAATGGTCAAGTGATTTTCAACCGAAGAGAAACAGTGGTATGAATCTAGGCCATTCAACTGTTAGAAAAGGCAAACATCAAGCATAGAACATTAGGTACAAGGACCATTAAGCCAGCTAACCTGTCCACTGCAAAATGGACCAGCCCCAATTCCTATTGTGGGTATTTGAAGGGCTGCGGTTGCCGCAGCAGCCACAGGTGCAGGCACACACTCTAGAACAACAGAGAAGCATCCAGCTTCCTGAAAAGCCAAAGCAGTCTCTACAACCTACACAGAAGTTTCTTTCAGGACCTTAGAGAAATTGTGCAGAGTCTCAAATAGATGGATGTGGGAGAAATAGACCTTGACAGCACCAGACACATTCTTTCCCTGGGGCTTAAAACCCCCTAAAACACTAATGGCCTGTGGAGTTAGTCCCACATGTCCTATGACAGCAATTCCAGCTTCAACAATAGCTTTTGCTGCTGTAATTCTTGAAGGCGACCCTCCTTCCAATTTTACTGCATCCATTCCTCCTTCCTTTAATATGCGAACTGCTGTATCAACTGCCTGTTTATAATCAAAATGAGCAGGAGCATATGAAAACATTGTGTACATTAATTAAGCTCAGATAGTGAAACTGAAGTGAGACGCTTATATCCTTTATTCCTAATCTCTCTGTTTCTTTTAACCACCCATAAAAGGAATCTATATTGGTCTGAGTTGTAATTGTACAAGAAATAAAATAAAATCTTCTATCTTCGATGTCAATGTCAATTTCACCTAAATTAACTCCGTTCCCACAGCTGGCTATAAAAAGCATGTTAAAAAATTTTTGTTTCTGCGAAAAGGCAAATTGACTTCTCAACTTCCAAAGAAATATACCAAACCTCCTTCCCTGCTACCCGGATTTTGTCTCGACAAAAATGGCTATGTAAAGCACATTTGCATATATTTTGTTCGAGAAAAAGCGTGAACTTCTGAAGGAAGAAACAAAGCTTCCTCATCAACAAAACAAATGGGATTTCAAGCTCCTAAGACAAACTCCACCACTGTTAGCGAAACTAAACCAAAACAAACGCACCTGACCAGTACTCGATTCGTAAGCTCCGAAAGGCAAGTCCCCTACCAGAAGCGGCCGCTTAGCACCACGAGCGACGGCACGACAATGAGCAAGCATTTCGTCGAGGGTGATGGGCAGAGTGGTGTCGTGTCCATGAACTACCATGGAAGCCGAATCTCCGACGAGACAGACATCGATACCGGCCATGTCTAAGTGCACCGCCGACGGGTAATCATAAGCAGTGACCATGGTAATGGGTTCGCCCATTCTATGCTTCTGCCTAAGATAGGCCAGCGTCACTGTCTTGATCGAGGCCTGGGAAGTGGGTCCCGCATACACCGTGTCATCGGGGAGATTGCTGAAGCCCCGGTTCCGAAGAAGAGATGAGCAAGAAGAAGAAGAAGCTCTTCTAAGAAGAGAGGTGAAGGCGGCCATTTTGGAGGAAACAGGGAGAGACGAACGAAGTGGTGCGACGGTGCCCGGCTGCTTCGGCAGAAGAATTTAATACTTTTATTAATATAATATAATATTCAATGTGTGTTTGGTTTCAATTCATCAAAAATCAATTTAATAAAAATTTATTTAATAAAAATTAATTATTATAATAAAATTTATATTTAAATATATTTTTTTAAATGTCAGTTTGATAAAGTAAAAATTATTTAAATTAATAAAAATTTATTTTTTTAAAATATATTTTTTAATATAAATGATTAAAAAATATTAATTTATGATAATTTATAATTTTTATCATATAAATATAATATATTAACAATGTTTAAAAATGTGAAACAATTTAAAATAACATAAAATTTAAAATGTTAAATAATAAGAAAAAATATAAAATTTAATTTTGAAAAAAATTATGTAATAAATAGTTAAATATTCATTAATATTAAATAGTTATATGATTAATGGTTCGATCTATAATATATAATCTGATCTCTAATAGAATTTCAAACTCTATTCATCTCTCTATCAGAAATTACACTTGAAATTGTTGATGAAAATACATGTTCATTATTATCATCGTTAGTATTAACCATATTTTCATCCTCAAAATGCCTAAAGTCAGAATCAATTGCAGATCTTCTTCTAACAAAATTATGTATAGTCATTGTTGTCCCAACGATATGAACTTGTGTCATAAATGGATAGCTAGGCATGTGTCATAAGATTGCAAATCTGTTTTTCCAAACCCCGAAAGTCTTTTCAATCGTGGTCCTTAAGTTTGAATGATAATAATTAAAAATCTCATTATTGTTTGCAAATCCAGATGAACGCCTGAAATTTAGGAGGTAGTACCTATGAAATCTACAAGGACCTAAATATACACGTGACGTTGGATAGCCGGCATCTAACAAATAATATTAACCTATCAATAAAAAAATAAAAATTGTAAGGTCCCAAAAAATATTAAAAAATTATTTTAAATTAGATAAATATGAAATATACATTGAGGTGGATATGAAAATTTCATGTCTGGCCTTGTGAGTGCATAGTCAAACAAACGAGTATCATGGGCAATCCCTTCCCATCCAACCATGACATGAGTGAAACACATTTCTTAATCACATGCAGCCATTATATTTTGTATTGGAATATCTTTTCTTCAAATATATTTTCCTTGCTCTTTAACACTGACCACGCACGGGATATGTGTTCCATCAATTGCTCCTATGGCATCTTTAAAGAATAGCCAATATCACATATCACCTAGAATTTTTGAATGAATATCTTGAACAGTGTGATCTTTTGGTTGGATATATTCCTTTGCTAGCTTCTCACAAGCATGCAATACATTTCTAAAATGTCTGTGAACAGTCTCTGTTGAATGTTGAAATCATTCTTGTGCCATCATATTTCCCGCTCCATGTGCAACAATATTTAGGAACATACCAACCATTTCATGAATCCTTGTTCTTTTGGTTGGACACAAATCATATTATGTCAGTTCATCACAAAGTTGAAAAAAATATCTTTTTCCATACGAAACACGTCATAACAACTCGGAGGATGCCCTTGCAAAATTTCTTGCACCCATGTATGACTTGATTGTAAATTAGTTCTACAAGGCTCTTTCAACAAAGTTGTTAAGTAATTAGATAATATTGCAGTAATAGCCTCAACCTCATCATCTTCCACAAGTATAAGTAATTGTAATAAGTGAGATTGCGTATTGTCATCCATAAAAACTGCATAGCATAATTAATCAACCATTACACTATTGTCCATGACTTAATATAAGAAACACATAAAATAAGAGTCAAATAATATAGTCAGTTTCAAAATAAAGTTAACAACATGAACGGTACTAACTAGATTTAAAACATTGAGAACAAGTTAGGATTGATCTAATTTACTTTTTTGTCTAAGCACTTCAAATAGGCCACTAATGCTCTTCGGTTGTCCCTAAGCCCAATATATATGTCCCTTGCAGTCTTATCTAGCAAGGCCACAACACACTGTCCAAGAAGCACCTCATCACAAGCAATATCCTTGATTCCATAAAGTTCCTTTGCAACATCCGCCACATTTTGATCAACTAGTTTTGTTCCACTCTCTATGGAATTAAGAATTGACTTTAGTATTGAAGCCCTATCCTCTTGTATGGATACCAATTGACTCACTGAATCAACCATCACAGTTGCAAGATGTTTTCCCTTCTTGTTTTAACCACTTTCACCTCTCTTTTGCCTACTTCCTGAATTAGCACCACCACTGTATGCATTATTCAAGTTAACCTGCCCAATTTCTAGGAGAGCTTCTCCACTAATGTTTCTCACATCATCACTGTCTCCTGATCCTTCGGTCAAATTCAATTGAGGCCTATACACATCTTGCGGATCATCAACCCCAAGTGTCTACATGTAAGTGTCCCGTACTGCAACTAGCTAAAACAATTGTGTCAATTCTTATACATATAGAAGTGCTCTATGTCTGAATTTCCTATACTCAGGATTCTGCTACATATTTGCAAGAATTGAGTCTAGTATATTTACAAAATAAAGCATCAAATATATAGCATGCTATAAATAATTATATACCTTAATCTTTTGATTTCACCACTCTTTCGGTGCTAATATAGTATTCTTTTCACTATCTCATTCCAAACCAATTTCTTTATTCAACAGTTTATCCCATATATTCCAGTCTTTCCTCAAATTGTCCCATTTGTTCTTCAGCTGTTTCTTATCATAGCTTCTAAAGTTTAATGCATTGAATTATTGCATTAGTACCTCCCAACCTTTCTTTGATAAGGTAGAGCCTTTACACTTATTTTTCCTAACTTGCTAGAAAGCTAATTTAATGAACAATTCAGTTTCTTCGATAGTCCATAGTGCCTTCTCTTTACTCATTTTTACTATCTAAATATCATATTCTCAATAATCAAGTTGAAAGAGTTAAAATATTTATACATAATATATATTATGAAATAAAATTGGCATTATATTAATTTATAGAGAGCCCACTTACCAATTAAGGAATGAGCTCATTTCCAAATTTTGTCTGTCTTATATATATATATGGCATGATATTTAACTGGAGGTTCTTTGAGATATATAATCTCGCCATTTGGTATATGGGCTTTCCTAGCTAATTTAAGGATTGACACTCCCTTGCCCTTTGGTTGGAATAAGCATAGGCAGTCAGGTTCTGCTAAAAATGATATGTTGCAAGGTTCAGGAATGCAAATTTTATTACAGTAACTTTTTTCTTCGGAGGCTAGTGTGATCAATGCTTTTCTTCTTAAAGGTAAGCTATGTTTAAGGTAAGTAAAACACCATGTCACAGGCAATATTGTATTACTCCCTATATTATCTGTGAGATTACATATCTCAAAGAACATGCTTGCTGCTAACTGGGTCTGCAAAGAACTAAACTCTTACGTTCTTGTTTTGTGCAGATGGCAATCAAAATAAGGCAAAAAAAAACACTGGGTCTACAAAGAACATGGTCACCACTGAACAAAGCAGATAAAAATACGCACCAAATCCACCACATTATGCTTTATTTTCATCTACTGACATAAAACAGAGGACCATCATTTCCAAATCTAATAAAAAATGTTTGCAGACTATCATACCTTGCAGATTAAAGAAGCCAGCTAGAGTTCATAAAGCTGGTTTGAAGGTTCAGTTTTACACTCTACAGATTGTAAATCCAAGTGTATTGAGTTCTCTCAGCTTTACAACATTATCTAAGTCCTAAAATGAGCTCGATCCATGAATAATTGACGATGGAAATGAAGAAATGAGGTAGAGTAATAGCGAAACCAACAACAAAGGAAGAGGCGAGAAGCTCAGGGAAGTGAAGAGATGAGGAGCTCCGAATTTGTGACTAGATAGCAGAGGAGAGACAAAGGAGAGAAGGAGGAGCAATGGCGGAGCGACAAACTATCGATCAGTAAGCAAGGGATGAGCAAGCGAGGGAATATGCAAAATGAGAGAGGCTAGTGTCGATTGCACGTGAAGAAGGAGAAAATGAAGGTATCATGGTCTTTTACAATATTAGATACCAATCATTAATACTTACATTGTCTTATTTACGTTTCAAAAGCTCCCAAAAGTTGCTTCCTATTTTTTTAATTTCATACCATTTAAAAGCCCTTTTGAAAAGAACATTTCATCGTAAAAATATATCCCAAACAACATCCCACATGCCAAAAGTTAAAAACCACATTTGAGATGTGAAAAGTGAGCTTACAAAATGCACCCTTAATGGTGCAGGAAGGCTGCCACACTTAAGGAGAAAACTTTCATTTTTCAAATTGAGTTGTGTGTTATTGACTCATTATTATTGTCGTCGTTATTTTTAGTGAAAGGGTTTTTGAAATGTAGTGAATGTCTGCTAGGAGTTGTCAATGAGGGTCATAACTCATGAGAAATATAATAAGGTTGAGCTATTATTTTATTTTATTTTATTTTTTATCACAAATTGAACCCAAAAAAACCAACTAGCCTATAAGTATTATTACAATCTATTTAGGCTAAATATGAAACATCGCTCAAATAGGTCATAGGGCTAGTTAGGCTGAGTAATTGAAGCGTCAAGCCTACGATAAATGAAAAGGGTCGACCCTGAGACTTCATAAAGGCCACAATAAGTAAACGTGCCAAAATTCTGTCAACTGCAAATATTAAACCATTGGTGTGAAAGACACAATCTTAAGTAGTATCAAAATCTGCGGACCTCATGCCCAAGTATCTCAATAAAATGAGTTGATTACCAAAATAGAGAGCATGGAGTAAAGACTGTGTCATGAGTTTCGTGAGATCCCTAATTCTTTAGCAAAACGTGCTAGGTTTCAAGGAAGAGGCTACCGCTACTCTGACACTATAAATAGAAAAAGAAAACATAGAAAAAATTAGTCAACACTCAATCAAAGACTCATAATTTTACATTTGTTAGCCTTTTTAGTTTATCAATTAGTCTGTTAGTTTTAGGTCCGTAATCTTTTCACATTTCAATAAAA